CCCATCACTCAGACGCGGGCGACTGATGGGGCACCAGCTCGGTTCAGCTCAAACTACCGGCAGTGGGGCCGTTGCCTCAAAAGCCCTTATGAAAAGTACCGTATCTTTTTATATTTACAGACCCTAAACCCAAGTCTGCCTACTGGAATATTTTTCACAGCTTTGCAATATAGTCGCAGCTGACCGAGTCAGCTGTTGTTCTGTAGATGTGGAGAGGGAAGAAAGTAAGGGGTAAAGCACAAAACCCTTTTTTTTTTTTTTCCTTTTGGAAGTAGTTCTGAATCACTACCCTGGGCGCATCCTTCATCCTTCTCCAAGCTACCTGACAAGTCAGAGAAAAGGGGACTGAGCTTCCTATGTGCAGTGAACCTTATCCCCACACCTCAGTCCAGCCAATATATAAACAGTGAAACGGTCTCAAATTTTTTAAAAAAAAAAAAAAGGAAAAAAAGTCACACCGCTTAGTCTTTGGTTTCCAAGTTCAACGGAGGAATCTGCTTCAAAGCTTGAAGCAGAGCTGAGGAGTCGATAGGGGAATGGGCTGGTACGGGAGAAGGGAGTCTCTGGGGCATCAGCAGAGGTGGGGAGATTTTATCGGGGTTCATGAACCCCGTAAGTGCCGCGGCCGAGGCTGGCAGGCTGGGGTACAGGACAGGGACGGACGCCGGGTACCAGCACTTCTCCAGCATGGGCAGATAGGCTGTTGCGGATGGTGGGATCAAATAGAAGGGCAGGCACAAGGGAGGCTGGTGAGCGTGGGGGCCCAGGAAGCTGCTGGAAGAGCCCATCATGTCGCTGCCAAAAGGGCCCTCGTCCTCCGGTGACTCCAGCCGGCTCCTTTTGGCCGGCGGGTCCTCAGTCTCTTGCTTAATAGAGCTTATTCTCTCCTGGACAGCGTACTTGAGTTCGGTATCCTTTTTGAAATACTGCTGTTCGGATTTGGAGTCACTTTTCTCCAGCTCTCCCCCGTACCCACTGTCCGTGTCTGTGTCGCTGCCGCTCTGCTCCCCGCTGGAGTGAGCAAATGTCCTCTGGATCACAGGCACGCAGTTTTTCCCGTGTCCCTCCGCTGCTTTGGTCAAGGAGCCAGGTTTCTCTTTCAAGTCCACCATTTTAGGAGGGATGTCTACGGATTTGCGGCCGGCTCCGCCCTGGAGCACCTCGGAGGCCATGCGGTGCAGATGGCTGACCAGCTGGGACGACTTCAGGTCCTTGCAGTTCTCCTGCTTTGCCAGGTATTGCAGCATTTCCTTGGCACACATCTGGAAACCGGATCGAAACATTTCCTGGCTGGAATCAAGGTTTCTTGATGACAGGTCACCTGAGGAAACATTAACAGAAAGAAATTAAAAATTAACAACGTGCTAAATCGTTCCATTACCACCACCGAGGCGGGTTGGAGGCAACATTAAACTTCAGTTACGGCACAGCGACTTGATGGTCAACCTGAAGTTTGCATCCGTTCCCCCGATTCCTGCACGAGCGTTCATTTTTATTTGAACATTCGTCTGCCCACTCTTATGCAACACCTTTAAACTTAATTTTTAGCTCTCTATGTACCGTATATGCCACCTTCAACAGGTGCTGACGCAAGGAGCAGAGAGAGGAGTGAGTCAAGGTGGTGCCTTCTCCGGGAAACACCCCGGGGACGGCGGATTGCACCTCGCCTTCACCTCCAGGCAGGGAGCCCCTGGAGCACGGCCACTGCCAGCAGCTCCGCCGACCTGGGGCGGTTCTGCTTCAGCTTAAAGCTCTATTGCACTCCCCGTGGCTGTCAGAGCAGGGGAAGGCTCTCCAGAACAAGTAAATTTTACTTTATCAGATTCACGTGAGTGCCACATGTGAAACAGAAGGAGGAAGTACATCTAAAGCAGGATAAGCTGATACACCAGGTCCCCTCTTCGCCTGCAGAACACAGGCTCGCTTGTTTATAGAGAGGTGTGGATAGAAAGCAGATTCACCCGTACCTTCAGAAAAACACCCCAGACAAAACTGACTTTGATCCAAAGCTCACAAACACAAATGGAAAGGTTCGAATGGCTTTGGAGAGAACCTCACAGCAAATCTGGGCTTCAAATAAAACTACTTAAAATCCAATTTAATTTCAAAACAACTCCACAGGGCGCTCTACATTGGCCGTATTGAGAAACGCGTCTTTTTTTGCGAAAGCTCATAAGCAAAGCGAGAGAAAACGACGGCGATGAAAAGCAAGAACTCCTTCCTGCCTCCTCCCTTCTCAGGAACGAAATGTCACAACTGCATTTCAAAGACTCCGAGAGAAAGTCCATCAAGCGCACGCAGGTTCTCACACGATGCCATCTGAATACTCACCCGCTTGTAAACCATTCTGCAACGCAATGATTTTCTGCTGCTGCTGCTCAATGAGATTGGTGAGTGCCTTCACATGCTTCAAGGTGAGCTCGAGAACCACAGCCTTCTCCAGGTGACCCAGAGTCTGCAAGCAAAGGGACAGGTTGGCATCTGCCACGGGGTCGGCCACGCACGCAGCAGCCTGACGGGGCTGCCAACGTTTCCCAAATAACAGAGGAAGGACCGATGCAGTTTGGAGAAAAGACTTAAAGGGTCATCCCTGAGCAGTACAGGACTACGAAGGGCAGTATTCCATGAAAAGAAGTTAAAAAGCAGGCTGCGGAAAAGGCTATCACAGAATCCTACGGGTATTTTCGGACCAGCCGCACGGCTCAAAGGGAATTATTTCATTTATCTCTTCTGCTGCCCCTGCTGGCACCGGGACCTTAGCGCAGGGGAATCCGGCCGGGGGCTCCCCTCGGCAGCAGTACAGGACTACGAAGGGCAGTATTCCATGAAAAGAAGTTAAAAAGCAGGCTGCGGAAAAGGCTATCACAGAATCCTACGGGTATTTTCGGACCAGCCGCACGGCTCAAAGGGAATTATTTCATTTATCTCTTCTGCTGCCCCTGCTGGCACCGGGACCTTAGCGCAGGGGAATCCGGCCGGGGGCTCCCCTCGGCCGGCAGCGGG